ATAAGGGGCAAACATAACAAATAAAATTCCTGTTCTTTCTGAGGAGGAGAAACTGGCTAAGCTGACTGAGGAGAAATATGAGGGCAACTAGACAAACCATGGTATCATGAAAGCCTAAAAAAATTGGAAGTGCTTCAGTAAAGAAGGGAATGTAAAAAAAATATATACAAGAGGGAACTGACTGGAAAGGGGAATGAGGGGACTTTTCGAAGTAATAAAAATATTTATATTGTGACTGAAGTGGTGATTTTACAATGATTTACATTTGCCAAAACTCACTAAATGATACACACAAAACTGGTAGGTTTTATTATAAATACACCAATCCTCAATAAGTCCAGTTTTTTAAAATATAAATGTCATGAAAGAGATAAGTGAATGTAATGTATGATCTTTGGATCTTGAATGATAAAAAAGCATATATATATATATATATATATATAGTGTGTGTATATGGTGTGTGTGTATGTATGTTATAATCATTTTATTGTAGTTATGTAAGAGAATGTCCTTTTTGTACAAGACATATTTAGGGATAAAGAGTTAGGAGATCAGCTACTTTCAAGGTTTAAAAAAATGTGAGTGTAGATTTTAAAAAATGTGAGTGTAGATAGAGATAAAGCAAATGTAGAAAAATGTGAAAACTAAGCAATGTGTCTCCGCATATTCACTGTACTCATCTTTAAACTTTTCTATAGATTTGAAATTTTTCAAGATAAGAACTTGGGGGACTAAAAAAAAAAACAATAGGCGTCTTTGTCAAATACTGTTGAGAGGTTGAGTATGAGAATGGAGCTGTGCCTTTTACTGGTCACTGATGACTGTTTTAATAGAGCATTTCAATTTCAATTCAATTTCATTTCCCCTATGGAAGGGGAAAATTCTTGATAAAGAGTAAACAGAAGTGAGAATTAGAGATAAATAATGAAGTGGAGGAAGTGAGTACAAGTAACTCTTTCAAAAATTTTCCCATGAAGAGTAGTGGAGAAATAGGATGTGGAGTCAAGGAGTCTCCTAAGGTAATATTAAGACATTTAATATGTTGATGGGAATGATCCAGAAGAGAAAAAGAAATTGATCTTCTAGTAGAAAAAGGGTATAAATGCAGGGGCAGTCTTGAAACTGTGAGAAGTGCTAAGATTTAGGGCCCAAAAAGGAAGGAGTCACTTTACATGAGGCAATGATGATGACAATGACAATGGTGGTACCACAGCAGCTCACCCAAAAAATAGGTACTATTTAAAGAACTTTAATTCTCATACCAACACTAAAAGGAAGATATTACTAATATTTCCTTTTATAGATGGATGCTGAAATACAGAAAAGTTAATTTATTTGCCTAACAATACATATTTGGTAAGCAGAAAAGCCAGGATTTAGACCCCAAAGGAGAGATTTTTTTTTTCTTTCAGTGAAATTAGAGGCAAAGCAAAGTTTGTGTGTGTAGATACAGGTAGGCTGGCAGTAGTGAAAAAATGACATAGCTCTTGCATAATGACATTTTCTCCAAGAAGCTTTTGGTGGGTTCATCAGCTGAGGGGAGGAGGAAGAAAGGATGTTGGAGATTAGAGAAGAAAAGGTGAGAAAATCTTGCTTCAGGGAGGAGAAAAGTAAATTTAGTAGCAATGAATAGCAGTATTGAATTTGAAGTGAATCTGCTTGTCCTGATTGGATGATACTTTCCAGTTATTTTTAGCTGACTGAGAGCAGGCATAAAAAGAATAGATGGGTTTAACTAGGGTGGTGGTGGTGAGGGGTTTCCGGGCAAGTGGCATCTATGAAGATAGGAGGCAGGGAGTAAGAGGAGTCTGCAAGAGGGCTGATAGTAAGAAACCATGGAATCTAGGCTAGGAAATCATGAGGAATGCATGAACATTAATGATGTGAAAGACAGAAAAGGTGGTCAGGTCAAAGGACTAGAGATTTGTGAGGAAAGAAAATAGTTGGAATGTAGATATTAAAGTAAGAGAGTAAGTAATCATCAAAGAGTAGGATGTGTGAGAAGATCCCAGAGGGAGTTTGGCTTCAGAAAAGGGTCCCGATACAAGTGTTTTGGAAAATATATGTGTATCTGTAAGTATTCTAAAGTTGATCATAAATGACTCATGGCTTTGATATTAACTATTATTTTCAATAACTACTCTTCCTCCTACCAAAAACAAGAATTGTCACAGAAAAAAAAAGCATGTTATTATTTCCATTAAGGAACATGGCTAAACTGGGACAAAACCACATCTAAGTTTAACCCTTTGTTTCTTGTTCCAATGTTGTCTCATCATTCATTCATTAAAACTGCTATATGAAAGAACCCATTCAAAATGTGTAATTCGATGTAGCTGAGAGTCATAAAACCCAATGAAATTTAGCTCAAAGTCAATGTGACTATGAAATAAAATTATCAGCAAAGCTAACAACAACAACCCTAGATTGTGAAAAACAAATTGAAATTATGATGTACATGAAGAAAACTGTGTAGAAAACATTTCTAGTAACTGCTTGCATTCTGCATAATTAACACATTTCCATGAAAACACTTGTTTTTAAAGGAGGAGAGGAAGATAAGTAAAACACTGTTAGAATTCCAGTACTGCAACATCAGAGTAATTTTGTTTTGTTTTTTAAGTGAATTTGTTAGACACAAAGATCACACATTTCTGTGATAATAATGATGATAAGGTCTAGATTATAACCATGTGAATGGGAGGTTGAGGTGGCAGAGCATAAAAGACTATCAAAGAAGGCTAGAGCACTGGATGAAACTGTTATGTGATGTTCAAGTTACACAAAGAGATGTCAAAAGCAGTGGTGAAGAGTCATCAGTGAAGGTCGGGTAGGTGACACCAACAAAAAGGCTTAAAACAAAAAAACAAAAAAAAAACCCCTGATATTATATACTTGAAAGATGTTAGGGGAACTGAAGGAGAAAGAAAGAAAAATAATTTGGAGGCTATAGTGGATAACAAGGATCCACCTTTCTCCCCATGGGCTCTGAGGTACATGAGGTAGGGAAAGAAAATCAGGTTCCAATTTGGGAAGTATCCTTAGAGCAAAAAGGTGAAGGGACTGTTCTGAGAAGAAGCTGAGGATGTGAACTTGGTGTGTTCACAATCAATCTTTCTTAAATTTGAATCTCAATTTTCCTAATAGTTTACTATATCTTAAAAAGAAAAAATATTAAAAAATTTATTTACAAAGAATCTGGAACAGATTAAAAAGGAAATAATCCTCTAATGACTTTATTTTCCAAATCCATGAAAAACTCATCTTCAAAAGTTAGTCTCCTAGCCAAGATAAAAAGAATCCAGCATATTATTGTTTTTGGCTTAATATAAATGGACAGCTATTATAAAACAAAACCAGGCATTCTCTTGCATAAGAATTCAATATCAGAGGAATAAAATTAAGTGAATTCTGCTTTGATGAAATTTAGAAAATAGCCTCTCTGAGCACAAGCTGAACAAAGTTAACTCTTATAGTTCAAGCACAGAAACAGATACCTATGGGATGTAAATAAATAGATTTCCTAAGTATAATCTTTGGAGTATAGATACAGAAATTTTGGAATATATAGTCCTTCTTCAAGTAAAAATATGATTATTCCATGAATAACTTTAGAGGTATGGCATTACTGAAAAAGAGATGTTTGTCCTAATATCATAGTTTTTTTCCCCTTAAATTTCTTCTGAATATTTTTAAGACTATGTAAATGTCAAAACTTTTTTATGCTTTAACAGAAAAACTGTATTTTATGTCCATAGGTTGCCTTCTAAATATTTCTACTAAGCGGTCTGTATGTAGCTCATGAAATTATATAGTCCTTTAGGGTCTTAAATATACAAAAAAAAATCTGTTCTATAAAGACAAAATTTTATGAAATTTACCTAGAATCTCCCGTCAAAATCCAGTGGTTTGGTTTATAGTGGTATATGATGGTTTAATCATGATCATTAATCAGAAATGTCAGCTGATTCAACTGCAGGTTAGTTCTGTCTTCCTCATAGACTATCAGATTCTAATCACTAGACAGAAAATTTACTAGTAGTTTTATTATGCCAGATAAATGGACAAATGGATTTGAGAAAGGCCAACTCTTCTATTTCAATAAGGCTAATATGATGTGTCAGAGCAAATTGTCAATAATATACTGTGCTCATTTATTACACACAGCTGGAAGCAAATTATTTCTCTTCTTCATGAAGAACCCAGCTGGAAGTAATCTCTCCTTCACCACAGTTCTTTAGTACTTTGTATATTACTTACAGGAATTTCTCTTTGGAGGACAATGATTTTTGTTCTTGTTTTATTTTCCTTCTAGATTATAAGCAAGTAAACTACACCTTGACATTTTTCAATAGCCTCAAAGTATCATAGCATTATTTGTATTCTGTTACATACCCAGTACTCATAGAACAAAATGCCATAGTGACGCTATCAATATCAAACTCATCAATATTACGGATTACACATAAATAGGCTTTTGTTATTTGATCTAGAATCATGTCAACATTTAGGTAAAACAGAAAACTGTTTTGAATTCTAAAAACTTAATTACAAAATCACTGTCAGAACACAACAGGGACTTTTCTGAGCTACATCTCCAGCCCTACCCCTTTTCTTTTTGAGACAGGGTCTCACTAAGTTGCTGACCTTAAGCTTTTGATCCTGATGCCTCAGCCTCCTAAATCACAGACATGAGCCACTGCACCTGGCAACAAGGACTTCTTATACTGCAGGTATGACTAGAAAGGTTCCCAACAGAAAGCAGTCAAATGCTGTTTCCCAATTTTGTAAATAAAAGAGAACTATTTTTTTCTTTAAAAATATAGGAACAATGGAATTTAAAAATAACATTTTGTGAAAAACATGGGAAAATGTTTAAAAAATAATGCATGGAGTTATACTTGCCCAACTGAACACTTCAAATGTCTTTCCATTAATCCAGAGAATCTTGGTTAAGCACAGGAATTTCATGATGTTTATAAACTGAAATTTCAACTTACCATTTATGTTTATTGCTGGTAATACAATTGACATTTTTGGTCTTGTGGTCTTGTTATGGGTGGTAGCTGGTAACAGTAGGTGATCCTAAAATTAACAAAGAATAATTTGTTATATATAACAACTGGCTCAGCACTAGAACAGGCCAAATTTAGGCTTTCTATGAAGTTGACATTTCATTGGGATCATGAAAATGAGTTTTTATTTGGACCTGGCTTAAAGGTAATTAAGATCATTCATTAATTAATACAATACACATTTACTGAGTATGTACATTACCAGGGGTTATGCAGAATTTGGGGAATACTCATGGGTGCTGATAATACATATGCTTCAGTATATTATAAAGAGTGTCATTTAAGCAGTCAGGAAAGGGAGTTTTAATTCTAATTCCACCACTGAATAGCTGTAAGATCTGGACTATATATATATATATATATATATCTCCTTTCTGGGTCTCACTTTCCAGTCCTGTAAAATGATGAGGGTTAGACTAAATAATATTACACAATACTAAATTGTGTACCCACTAAACAGTCATTTTCAAACTCCATTTTAAAAGAGAAATTTTCCTCTAAAATATTATCCAAAATTACTAATATGTAAAAGAGAAGTTCTGCTTAAAGCAGGGAAAGGGCCTAGTACCTTTCTTGCTTAGTCTTGCCCCTTTGAAGTGGCCAGGACATTAGATATTTATTTGTGACAGGCATATGCTAAAGATGATGTATAGTTCTTACCCTTAAAAAGCATATAGCTTAGTAGAAGAGTTTAAAGAATCATAAATATATGTCTAGCACAATTATATAGCTCTAACTATAACACAGCCAAACTTCAAATATACCACAGAGTTACAGTAACAGAAACTGCATGGTACAGGCATAAAAACAGACATGTAGACCAATGGAACAAAATAGAAGACACAAAGACAAACCCATTTATTTACAGTCATCTAATCCTTGACAGAGGTGCCAAAAACATACACTGGAGAAAAGATAGCCTTTTTGACAACTGGGGCTAGGAAAACTGGTTATTCATATGTAGAAGAATGAGACTAAATGCTTATCTCTCACCCTGCATGGAACTCAACTCAAAACAGATCAAAAACCTAGGAACTAGACCAGAAACTTCGAAACTCCTAGAAGACAACATGAGGTCAACACTCCAACACACAGGCACAGGAAACATCTTTCTTAACTGGACCCCTCAAATTCAGGAAACAATGCCAAGAATTAATAAATGGGATGGTATAAATTAAAAAGCTTCTGCACAGCAAAGGAAAGGATTAATATGAAGAGAATCTACAAAATGGGATAAAATCTTTGCTAGCTACTCTTCTTACAGAGGATTAATATCCAAAATATATAAAGAACTAAAAAAAAAAAACCTTAACACCAAGAAATATATTGCTAAGTGAAGTTAGCCAATTCCAAAAAACCAAATGCCAAATGTTTTCTTTGATATAAGGAAGCTGATTCATAGTGGGATAGGGAGCGGGAGCATGGGAGGAATACACGAACTCTAGATAGGGCAGAGGGGTGGGAGGGGAAGGGAGGGGGCATAGGGCAATTAATGATGGTTGAATGTGATGATCATTATTATCCAAAGTACATGTATGAAGACACGAATTGGTGTGAGTATATTATGCATACAACCAGAGATATGAAAAATTAAGCTCTATATATGTAATAAGAATTATAATGCATTCTGCTATTATATATAAATACAAAAAAAGAAAGAAAAAAAACTTAACACCAAAAACAAACAAACAAACAAACAAAACCCCAAATAACCCAATTAATAAATGGGCAAATTAACTCAACAAATACTTCTCAAAGAAAAATACAAATGGCCAACAAATATGTGAAAAAATGTTCAACAATTTTAGCAATTAGGGAAATACAAATCAAAACTACACTGAAATTTCACCTTATTCCAGTTAGATTGGCAGTCATCAAGAATACAAACAATGATGTATGTATGAGTTTGTCAGGATGAATCCAACTATTATGTATAAACATAAAGGTCTAATTAAAAAAAGAATACAGGCTCATCGGAAGATGGCGGCGAGGGGAGTGCATTGCCCCCGTGTGCCCCGTCACTGTGCGGGAGAATGACGAGTCAGGACGGCTAAAGGCTATCTTGTTAGGAATTTCCAGCAAAAGTGGGGTGCTCCGGAATCTGGAGGAAGGATTTCCATCGCACGAGGATCAGCTATGGGGGCTCAAACACGAGAGATTTGTCCGCACGGAGGGTCACCCTGCTTGTTCGGCAAATCTCCCCGCGGCTAGAGTCTGCGGCGCGCGCTGGGAAACGAGGAGATAGGGACGCAGGGATACAGCGCTGCAGTTTCTGTGGGCTTCTGCCAGCTATGCAAGCACCGTACTCAGTGCTGAATTCTGGGTTTGAGACGGGGGGAAGGAAGCGGTCCAATTCGGTTCTCCACGCCGGTCAGACCACAGAGGAGGCCAGCGGCCACCATCTTGGAGAGCTGACGTCACCATCCCTGTTTTCGACTGATCGCAGCTCATTCATCCACAGAACGGGTAATTTCAGGCTGCCATTCGCCTGCGGCTTGCAGACAAATGACTCAGGCTCAGTGCTAAATAGCCCACAGAAACTGCTTCTTGGAGCCTGCTCTTATCAGAGCATGCACCAAGCACGGAGCGGCCGAGTTCCGGCTCCCGGAACTGCTCTGGCCCAGGGCTAAGGAGCCCGCGGAAACTGCTTCTCGGTCCGGGTCCTGCTGAGTACTGTGGAGGTAAATACCAACTGAGCCTTCGTGGGCAGTGGCAACGGGACTGAGACGGGGCTTGTGAGGGCCGGTCAGGACTCACCCGTTGCTTTGGTCACCAGGCAAAGGGAACGAAATGCTGCCATTCGCATGGGATACCAACATGGCAGAGATCTGATGTCATCAGAAAGCCGCGGAGGAGAGAACTTCATCAATACCAGCGGCGACAGAAACAGTTGGTCTCCTGATAGGGAGGGTGAGTCACAGACACCCGAGTCTTTCTCGCTTTGTCGTCGAGCCAGAGGGGAGGAGCGGGGCCGCCGCCCGCGCCCGGAACAGGCCCAGTGGCTCGCCGGCATGGTGGTCGTGTGACCCCAATTGGAGTGGGGGCGGAGCGGAGCCACCAGCGCCCGCAAGGTGGGCAGTCCTGCGACCGACCGGCAGAACAGGCCCAGTGGTCCGCGGGCGTGGTAGGAGGGGCAGGGCAGAGCCGCCGCCCGCGCCTGCAAGGTAGGCAAACCTGCAACAGACCGGCGGATCAGGCCCAGAGGCCTGCCAGCGTGGTACACACGTCACCCCAACTGGAGTAGGGGCAGAGCAGAGCCTTCGCCCGAGCCCGGATCAGGCCAGCGGCCCGCTGGTGTGGTGGTCACGTGACCCCAATTGGAGTGGGGGCGGAGCAGAGCCGCTACCCGTGCCCAAAAGGTGGGCAGACCTGCGACCGACCAATGGAACAGGCCCAGTGGCCTGCTGGCGCGACAGACACGTCACCCCATTTGGAGTAGGGGCAGAGCAGAGCCGCCGCCCGTGCATGCAAGGTAGGCAGACCTGCGACCGACCGGTGGAACAGGCCCAGTGGCCGGCCGGGGTGGTAGGCACGTCACCCCAATTGGAGTAGGAGCAGAGCAGAGCCTTCGTCCGCGCCCGGAACAGGCCCAGCGGACCGCGGGTGTGGTAGACAAGTCACACCAATTGGAGGGGGGGCAAAGCAGAGCCGCCACCCGCGCCTGCAGGGTAGGCAGACCTGCAACCGACCGGCGGATCAGGCCCGGTGGCCTGCCGGCGTGGTACACAAGTCACCCCAATTGGAGTAGAGCAGAGCCGCCGCCTGCGACCGGAACAGACCCAGTGACCTGCTGGCGTGGTAGGCATGACACCCCAATTGGAGTAGGGGCAGAGCAGAGCTGCCACCCACGCCCAAAAGGTAGGCAGACCTGTGACCGACCAGCGGAACAGGCCCAGAGGCCTGCCGGCGCGACAGACACGTCACCCCATTTGGAATAGGGGCAGAGCAGAGCCGCCGCCCGTGCCCGCAAGGTAGGCAGACCTGCGACCGACCGGTGGAACAGGCCCAGCGGCCAGCTGGGGTGGTAGGCACGTCACACCAGTTGGAGTAGGAGCAGAGCAGAGCCTTCGCCCGCGCCCGGAACAGGCCCAGCGGTCCGCGGGTGTGGTAGACAAGTCACACCAATTGGAGGAGGGGCAGAGCAGAGCCACCACCCGCGCCTGCAAGGTAGCAGACCTGTGACCGACCGGCAGAACAGGCCCAGGGGTCCGCGGGCGTGGTAGACACCTCACACCAATTGGAGGAGGGGCAGAGCAGAGCCGCTGCCCGCGCATGCAAGGTAGGCAGACCGCCGCCCGACCCTGCAAGGGAGACTTTTCAACTATACAAGAGCAATATAAATATATAGGGGGAAAAAATTTTCAAAAACACAACAGTTTCACCAAGCAGAAAGAAACGCAAGCAGTATGAAAAGACAAGGAAAGAAAGGACCACAAGCAATGCAGGTCAACTCAACTTTAGAAGAGGTAACAGCTGCAGCAGATGGAACGTCAGATAAAGAATTCAGGATATACATGCTTCAGATGATCTGGAGTCTCAAGGAAGACATTAGACAGCAAAATCAGACAATGAAAGATCACTTCGACAATGAATTACACAAACAAATCCAGGAAGGAAAAGATCAACTATACAGGGAGATAGAGGTTATAAAAAACAAACAAACAGAAATCCTAGAAATGCAGGAAGCAATAAACCAACTTAAAAACTCAATTGAGAATACTACAAGCAGAGTAGAACACTTAGAAGATAGAACATCAGACAATGAAGACAAAGTATTTCAACTTGAAAACAACATAGACAGGTCAGCAAGACTGTTAAGAAACCATGAGCAGAACATCCAAGAAATATGGGATAACATAAAGAGACCAAACTTAAGAGTCATTGGGATACAGGAAGGTATAGAGCTCCAAACCAAAGGAATGAGCAATCTATTCAATGAAATAATACGAGAAAACTTCCCAGACTTGAAGAATGAGATAGAATCCCAAATCCTAGAAGCCTACAGGACGC